CAAACACAATATCTCTGTTGTGTTACTATGGCTAATGTGTGACATTGCAAGAGACAAAAGCTGATGAGACACAATTGGGACTATCTTCACTAAACAGTAAGTGGGATTATCTTCTTTAAGGTTGTTATTAGTATTACTCTCTCATAACTCATAGAGTGGAACCCAACTGTCTGGCCTTTGCAATTTGAAGGGTGTTTAGAGAGTTAGTGAGCCAGCAGAGGCAAAAAGAGTTCTATAGTGTGGCCTGCAGAAGGGAAGAAGAATGTAAGTGGATCCAAGAATCTACCATTTTGCCTTGATCCAAGCATTCAGATAAAGCCTGGCTGATGCATCTTGTGTAGATTACAATCCAAAACATCCGAGTTCAGCCTCTTAGACTTCCTAAAGCATCTTGAGCAAGTTTTTACTTTATCTTTGTCTGAGTTTCTTTTACGTAAAATAGCAATCTTTTCTCCCACCCCTTCCCTGTTTCATCCCATTAGATTATACATTCTTTGGAGCCAGGACAGCCTGTTACTATGTGCATGGACCACATTTAGCATAATGGATCCCAAACTGATGTTCAGTCTCTTAAGGGCTACTATAAGATAGTCCCAAACAAACAACAATAATAATAATACACTTCTCAAGCAGTACTTCTGCATCAAGTTGGAGTCTGCCTACAACTCAGTACAACTTGGGTATAATCCTTTGACTTAAGTTTGCCATTGCATCTCTCAAAGTATTCTTGTGCTTTTAATGTGATTCTCCTGAAAAAAATGAAACCTTCCTCCAGCATACAAGATTTGATTTTTTATGGATTAGATAGCAAAGACTTGTGTCTTCACAATGTGTTTTCTCCCCTGGGTTTCATTCTTGCTACCAAATGACAGAGTTAGAGGCCAGAGGTAACATATTGCTGAACTAGCATGGCTTTGAGAGACTGGTAATGTGCCTGTCACATACTTATCTGTGAAGCAAATAAGTTACCTTTTCAACTAGTTTCATTACTGAAGTTTATCCAATGCCAAACCAACCAATTCCTCTTACCACCCGTTAACTGACAGAGCTGCTGTTGTATTCTGCTATCATTTCAGATCAATGTGAGGATAGTGCATTTCAAAAGTAACTCCTACAAGGATATGGCAGCATCAGTCCTTCAACCTCCAGCAATGCAACATAATATCAAGAAGCACCACCAAAGACAAGTCATCCACCCAAGAATGATGTACAGGTATTCAGCAATGACTATTTACCTGACAATGAGTGGACCACAAAAAGATTAAGCCATAGATCACTCAAATCCAATAAGTTCAGATAGATACTTTGGTACATACAGTATATTTTATTAGGCTCTAAAAATGCATAGGTTCCAAACTGGAGTCTAAAGCCCTTTCTTTATGGGAGACAACAGATACTGCATTGGCCCTGACAGCTCAAGCTTCACGTCAACATTTTTGCCACCATGCCCCATGGCTGGATGCTGCTTGTTTGGGACAAACATAGTGAACAGAATGATACTTATAAATGTGAAGGTAGTTCAATTGCTTTGTCTTGTTCCATTCTGTTTTTCTGATAACACTGTTGATAAGGTGTCAGTTCCATTGATGATAGTGGCATCTCTGATGTAGACTTCCGTCCAGAAGGAGATGGCCCAAGACCATTAACTTATTTAATACAGTCTGCCAGAGAGAGCTAACGGGTTTTCTTTCAATATTAAACAGTAGCTATGTAATCTTAAATTCATATGGGCTGAGATTTTAAGTTTTGCACCATGGTACCTGCTGGCAGATAGGCCAACTCTGTACACAACTCAGTGTCAGCTGGCTAACTAGAGCAAAAGGAAGTTATCGGACTGTTAGGTCAGCAAACTGTAAGGAAGGTTACATCCCTTTTACATAACTCACTGCAGATGGCAGGAAACCCCTCTTTTACCCATAAATTTTTATTTCCTTTTTAAGGAAGTTTAGTCACCATCCTTTCCCCTCTCTCATCATTCCACATACCCCTCACAACCAAACACACACATTCACACTCATGCATGCACACTTACACAGACACAGGGGCACTCTCTTTCATTCTGTTGCTTTCCCTCTTCCCCACTTCTCCCTCCCTCCACCTTCTGTAGTGTTGTCTGTTTTCTTAATTTAGATTTTAACCACTTGGGCCTGTCACTGGAAATATAAACAGACTGTGGCTGTAAGACTGTGCAGTTGGATATAAAATTCTGATGTCATATGGCTGTTACACCTTTTGTTTACTTTAATCATGACAGATCCTAATCCTGTCAAAATCATGCAAGATTGATGAAAATGTGTGCTACAGAATCAATTATATTTCCTCAGGTTGGTTATTCCTTTTTAAGCAGAGTAAGGATGAACTGTAGTCACTCTGTTTTTGTTTTTTAGGATAGTATGGAGTAACAAAATATGGAAATGTAATTAAGGTATGTTAGTGTAATGAAAACCTAATTCCTATTTTCTCTTTTAAGACTGTACACACCCCATCTGCAGTTACCAAACTGGGGATCCAAGCATACAGGATGCTCTAAATTGTTCTCTCTATGTGGATACTGATAACTTCAATAATTCTCCATAATGCAACTTAATGGACTCATTCTAAAACACCTGCCTCCAGAGCAGTACATCAAAGAGACTCAGACCCCACTGGAACTCTGATTCCATTATGGACAGGTCATCAAAGCAGGAAGTGGTGAAGATCTTACAGAGGAAATTGTTTTTGAGGGGGAGCACCAAAAGGAGAGAAAGGGTCTGCAATTTGTGAAATGGACTGATACATATATTTAGCCTAGAAAACAGAAATAGCTACTCCAGATTTGGAAAAATTCAGCAGTAGGAAAGTAGGGTAAGGTCCAGTTCCGCAGGACATTAGCATGTTACGCCAGGTGAGAGACAGGGTTTACAAAGCGCTATAGAGATATTTTCGCCCATGAGGGCAAGTTACTTTCTTTTGATTTTTCTTGCTGTTGTTGTTCCTTGTTCATCTTTCTGTTCCTTTTAGAGATCTGCTATGGCTCCGCCTTCCAAGAAGCATAAAACTTGTCAGTCATTCATGGCTACATGAGGTCATGTTGCACACTACACTACTGTCTGAGTACTCCTTGAGCTACTTAAACTCAGGAAGAAAAACAAAGCAAAGTAGTTATCCTTAACCTTACTAAGAGGAAGGAATACAAGGGATGATGGGCAGTAAAAGGAGAATACTGGACTGCACTGCAACTGCAGTGATGAAGTGTAGGAGGCTCAGACCATTCAGGGGAAGAGAAAGGAAGTCTAGCTTGTGAAGGATAACAAAACTATAAAGAGATAAAAGCATGGGCACCCACCCATGTCTTCATCCCTCTTCAAACCTCTTCAAGTCCTCCCTAAGGAGCTGCTAAAAACAACCTGAAAAAATAGGAATGTAGGCTCTTGAGAGCCCCCAGGATATAGAACACACACAGCTTTTGAAAGCACAACCCAGAATGAATGCCCCAATTTGGTTCAGGGTGGTAGTCCTCCAGAGAGGAAAGATTATGCAGCGATCAGAGGATTATCTACACCCAGATCACCCATGTAAATTCTTTCTGGATTGGACTCTCATTCACTGAAGCCCTCAAGTAAATTAGTCTGCTTCCTTTCTCTGCATCTTCTATATATTTGTATCATTCTCTATTTCTTTCCATTATTTCTGTGATGCAACAATGTTAGTCAAAAGAGAAGCTGAGAAATGGAAGTAAGAATGAAAAGACATTACATTTTCTTATACGGGGACTGGAATCTTCTGTGGGTTGTAGGCAGAGCCACTGCCAGCATGACACGTCATCAAAAGGAGAATGGAGAGATAGCAGCTATGTGAGAGAACAAAACTGCATCCATTTCTGGCGCCTGTAACTAAAACAGATGTTCGTGAATTGGAGACATTTAGGAAAGAGCCATGAAAACCATTAAAGCACTAGAAAAACCTGCATCATGGTGTGATAAGAGATCCTAAAATAAGAGAAAGTTGAGAGTGACTTACAGATTTTAATGATCTATACTGCATACACAAATTTGATAACAGAGGGCTCTTCAATTTACATATTAAAGTCATAACAAGATGAAGTCACTGGAAGCTGAAACCAGACAAATTGAGACATAAATGAGTTAAAAATCATGAACAGTTAAATGAGATAAAAACCTTTAGCTGTGAGAATAATCCACTGGAACAGCTTCCTAAGGGTCAGAGTGGATTCCCCTGCACTGTAAATTTCAAATCAAGTTTGATTTTTATATATTTTTTAAGATATGCTCTTGTTCAGCTCTGTTAGCAGTATGACTAGCTAGGGAAAGCCTTTCTACTTAATCCACAGTGAGACTGCCACCCCAAATTAGGCAAGTGTAAATCACAAATATGCAGAATAGATGGAGAAAGGTCTGAAAAGGAACGGAGCATTAGTTATTGACTGTTTCTAAAACGGTATGTGTGCTTGTACTTCCAGAAGCCTGCTTTTCAATCTTTGGTCTCAGTCAAGACAGAAAGTATTATATTTACACCTTCAGTCTTGATTCAGAAAAGACCAAAAGAATGGCACTTCTTAAAAATTGTAAATAGCTGTATTTAATGCAGCAGTATGTTAGAAAGCACAAGATTCAGGAGGTGGTTTACATAGCCAATACTCCTACTGATATAAAATGGGCATATTAGCTGTACAATTTTGTATGAGGCTTCCTTCACAGGAGTAGCACCAAAACTATATTTGTGCAGCATCTTTCACCTGGGATCTCAAAACACTTCATAAGCTGCATACATATGGCACTTTTTGCATAGAGCCATCTGGAGGATGGTAGTTATCAGTAATGGCTAACTACAAGTACAAAGCACTGTGTTTTCTAGGGCTCCCAACTAAAATGGAACCACCTGAGTTTTTCTCTTTGTCATGCAAACAACTAACATAGAGCATATATCCTTTCAGGGGTGCAACACATTTGACTTGAGCTTAACCATGACTATTTATATCATCAAAATGAACCGGTCCTGTGAGGTTTGTCGGTCACCTGTTTTAATGCTGAGAAGGGTATATATAAAAATCTAGGGAGAGCTTCTGAGGTAAAAAATTGGAGAGGGGGAGGAGGAGAGGGAAGCAGAAGCAGCTGTCTGGGGGAAGGCAGAATTTGAAAATCCGACCCCTGTGATTCCATTTAAAAATGAACTAGTTGAAACTGGCTGCTTGCAGCATCAAAATTGTAAGGATTGTTTCTTTTTACAGAAGCTTAATAGACAGGAAGTAGGGTTGCCAACTCTATTTGAATCTATTCTGGGAGGTTTCCGGAAAGCCAACGTGCCTGCGACACAACGTGAATGTGCCCACGTGCTTGTCTATATGTTATGGATTACAGTGCGTAGACTTTACATCAGGAAGGCAAATACACATTACTATTACATTTTAAAAACACACTGGAGTACTGTATAAATTAGATTCAACATTTAGGATTTATTTTAATTAATGCCCTATCATTTATCTCCCAGTTGACTCTCAGCAGTCTCCTGGAGATTCATATCTAATTCTTGGAGACTCCAGGGCAATCCTGGAGCGTTGGAAACCCTAACAGGAAGGCTGTTAAAATGCAAACCCCAGTGCTGTGGTTATGACTTAAAATTTAAAACTAAGTTTTGGTTTTGGTTTCTTTTCCATTTATTTCTCCCTGCTGGCCCCTTTCCTGTTCACAAGGGGCAGAGAAAGTAGAATGTATAGGTGCCCTGCTTCCCCTCAGGAAAGTATCTTTACCCACTATTTATTTCCTCTTGTTTTACCTAACTTATCAGGAGCTTCTTTCAAAAGATCTAAGATTCACTGACTGCCTTGAGATACTCCCATATTGGCTACTTATGCAGACTGAATTGTGTCAATTCAGTGGTTTGACCTGGAGACCCTTTTACTCATCGTGAGTCCTGGTTCATCCATCAGATATGGGGTATACCTACACCACGTAGGGGTAGCGTGTTCTAGCCTTACTCACTTGCTCCTCCTACTCACATACTCCAAACCTGGAAGCAGTGGGTGAGGCTGTTCCATTGGTGTCCCCAGCAGCCATTTTTTAGCAAGTTAGAAGTTTGGAGAGTAGCAGCAGAGAGATGCCCTGGAGGGCCAGAGCAAACTATTTTCCAGGTTTGGAGTGTGTGAGCAGGAAGGGGTATGCAAGGCATGCAGCGAACAGCCCAACAGGCTGTTGCCATGGAGCCGAAATACTTTGAGAAATGATTTACAGGCTTTTTCTTTCTGATTCTGCAAGACACTTAGCATCTGCATATGTTTTGTACCCAGAGGTATCAGTCAACAAACCTAGATCCTACAGTTAGTGACATTTATTACTAAGACACAAACATTACGACACAACCCAGAACCAGCACATGCTAGAACCAGAACTTCCCACCAGATATGGAAACCATTTTTGCCTCATAAAAGTGATATAAAACAATCTTTCCCTCAAAAAATTAGTGTAACTTTCTGTATCTACATGAGAAGCTGACGGAGCAGTAGCCCATGACTACCACATAGTAGCATCATGTGACAGACAGCATGACACAGTAGTCCCTAGCTACCGCGCAGTCAGCATCACAAAAAAGCCATTCAGACCACTACACAAGTGTTTATACAAGTACTCAATGACTGTGCAATCGGCATCTTGTATAGGCACACCAACTGAAGCTACTCTTCTTGGGTCAAGTTTGAGTAGTTAACTGAAACAACTGTTTGAGTAGTACTCAAACAATACTTTTCGAGTACTGTAGTATTGTTGAGCATAAGTAGTACTTGAGGCAAAATTGTCTCAGATTCTGACCCATGGGCCAGGTAAAGTTGTGTGGTATTCAGGTCTTTCTGTCTATCTATGTGGCTAGGGACAGAAATTACACATAAACCAATATAAGTGATCAGAATCCAGTTCAAATCTGTAACACAGCAGAAGTCCAAAGCACACGAACGGCCTTCAAAATGGCAAAAACTGATTTAAGATAAACCTGGAGATGTAGTGTCAGACTTAACTGATTTAGGCTAAATCAGTTTACTGAACTTCTGTCTCAGATCCCCTCCAGATTCAAGTTAACTCACAGTCTCCCAACTCCCCAGGATGCTCTGCACCTCCCCTGCAAACCCTTCTTAGAGGTGCATAGGCTAGATTTCGCCCAAGCTGTCTGTACCAGGCAGCAAGAAGCCATGCTCTAGTGGTCCCCAGCTCCTGGCCTGGGCCACTGCAGGCATCTGGCTGCATTTCCAGAATCAAAAATGAATGTCTGTTCCCTTGTTTATTGGTTCAATCTATGCAGTTTAGACTAACCTGCAAACATTAAATAGGGTTGGCCACAGGTTTTTTGACTGTCTGTATTTACCCTGTGCATAAACTAAGTAATGGACTAAGTATTGGGGAAGTCTTTGCTAATGGAAAGGATAAGTTAACTGTAGAATAGCCTTCTAAGAAAAATCATCCCTTCTCTTGAATTGTTTACATTAGACTGGAAATGGTGTATGGAAATACATTGTAAGTAAAACCAGGTGAGTAAGACAACACATTTCTAGGGATAGTTGGTAACATTTTTAAATGAACTGATTTCAGTCTTGCTCATTTTACATAGAGCTTAGAGAAAATCTACTTAACTAGCACAAATGTTCATGGACCGTGAAGGCTAGTATTTGTACTTTGAGAAACAATGCCATATGACTTCCCCTAATCCATTATAACTAAGCAACCCATTTTGACATTTAGAATCTTGCTAGTCAATTCATGGGATTAAAATATTCCAGATTATAATTCTTAAAATAACAAATAAACTGCAGAAATCATTTTGATTATGGATAGAAAGGAGCCTAAATTTGTCAAACAGAATATTTTCTGCATGCTAATCCTTCTCTACCTCTATCTAGATGGGACTGTCAAGCCCACATTAACAGAAAGAGTTGATGACTACATGTACTAATATTGCCTGTTATATTCTGTGAGATATTGCCTGCATAATTTGTGAGACTTGGATCACCTCCAAATCTAAATTACATCAGCAAGGCAGGAGTTAAATCAAGTGAGTTCGACATTTTGTCTCTGGGAGACATACAAAAGGGTAGTTTTTACTGCCTGCATCCAAATTTTGTTATTCAACCCAGCAGAATCCTCTCAAGAAGGAATTGGGAATCACAGTAGATGCATGGAATTCATCAGTTTTACAAGCTAAGAAAATATTTATAGCTACTCATCCAACCATTGGTTAGTGTATTTGTCAATCTGTTATATGGAATTCTGTATTAATGGTCATAAGCACTGGGTACCTGGTCCTCCTTTTTAAGAACTCTAATTTTAACTATTCAGTTCCATGGTGCTTTGGCTTTGTGCCTTATTATAACCACATCACTCAAAGTGTAGGATAAACATCCAGAGATGTACTGTTTGTTGTCTTGGGCTATGGACAGAAGTTACACATAAACTGGTTTAAGAGGTCAGAAACTGGTTTAAACCTGTAACAGAACACATGTTCAGTGCACATAAACCAGTTTCAAAATGGCTGAAACTGGTTTAAGATAAACCTGGTTGAATGTAGTATCAGATTTAATTGATTTGGGTCAAACTGGTTTATGGAACTTGTGTCCCAGACCCCTTCCTGGTTTAAGTTAAATCAGAGTCCCTCAGCATCCCAGCATGCTTTTTGTCCTGCGCTGGGCTGGGCTGGGCTGGGCTGGGCTGTCAGAGAGCAGGGCTGGCCCCACTCCTCTCCTCTGTAGCTGGAGCTCCAGCTGGCTGAGAAGGAGGTAGACTGCAGGCACAGCAGCATCTGCCTGGCTTCCCCCCACCCCACACCCCCTCACTGCTCAAATAAGGATCCCCACTCCTCTCTCCCACAGCACGGACCTCAGTGGCATACA